ATAAATACATATTAGTGCAATATTACATCACAGATAGCCAAATAGGCTGACGATGCACTGCCAAATTGAAACGCAATAATTTGTGTATGTCTTTATGGGGACTCTTTACGGCCACATCAGTGGATGATATAGAAGCATGACCGTTGTTACTTAACAGATATAAATGAACTTTTGATTCCTTACTGTTTGCAGTAAGTCAATTAGAAACTGTTATATTTACTTGACATATCCGTTTGAAGGCTGCTGCATGATAAAATATCGATTCTGGAGACATTACGTTATGGACATAAAGAAAGAGCTGTTTCATTATACCAAAATATTAACATTCAACGTTAGAGTAAAACTTGGATTTGAATCAAACACGACACCGTCTTTGTTTTTGTCTTCGGTGTCGTGCGGATTCAATTGTTGAATATTTGATACTCTTTTAATAACATATGTCATAACAGGAAGAAGCGTGAATAGTGTTGGATAAAACAAGAGACTAACGACTGGAAGGGGGGAACAAAAGGACGCGTGGATGCTGGTCTGTTTGTATTCAATATCCTTCACTCCCACAGTTTATGTAAAACCTTTTTCCTCAGTTTTGTTATGTTTCATTAGAATTTATCTTTATTTCAATAAAAAGGCGTAGCGATATGACATTTTTATGAACTTACTAATTCTGCTTTTTATATGTAACATTTTTTTCTCGTCTATTTTGATAAATGTTTCAAAATATTTTCATTGATGGTATTAGATTTTAACAATAAAATGAATGTTTTAGAGTCGTGGTTATACAATATAGAAATATGGATATGTGGTACGATAATCCTAATGAGACAAGATCAGACAACTATCCACCAGAGAACACAGAACTAGTATGTAAACAGCAATATGTAATCGTAAGGGCTTTCACAATGAGCGAAACCCATACCGTATAATAAGCTATAAAAGGCCCCACCATGACAACGTGTGAAACAATTCAAAAGGGAAAACCAAAGTTCATTGATGAAGTTTATCATAAAACTGCACAAATCATCTCATGGTTTAAGATATTTTCCCCATCAGACTTTCTTTAATGATAATTATTCAAGATGTATGATTCCTTTTGTAGATTCACAAATCACACTAGAGATATCCAAAGAAGCGACTTCACATATCCTTGATTTACATATCAGACTTATCTGGCATTTGTTATTGGAAATGAAATGATTGTAGATGGGGCATTAGGTTTTCCGGTCTGTGCGTCCGTCCGTTATAAAGTTCGTCCGGTATCATGTTAAAGTATAGCTTGTGGTCACATTAACGTGAAATTTACATTTTATGGAACGCCAAATTAGGGTGTTGATCCAGTTTTCACAGTTCACTGAAAATGGAAATGTAACATTGCGAGCGAGGCATGGTGTACTATGGACACATTTTTTTATTGTTGCTATAAAGTTGGTTTCCTTTTACCAAAAAAAAAAAATATGTTAATAAATACCATTTAGAAAAACTTCTGATAAGAACACCTTTGATTCAACCACAGCTAATAATAAGTAAGCAAAATTGTCTCATTATATTGCAAGTGTAGAAAAGGAAAACAAATGCCTTAAACATAGATTTTTTTTTTGCAGTTAGATTTTTTTCTTAATTAGGAAAAATATGATACTGAAATAAAAGAATTGTAGTATGATGTTGACCATAAGTATTATTAACACGTAATTACAAATGAACATATACCCCCGGTAGTTGTTTACATCCTTTTCTTTGGTCTTTGGCGTTTTTATGCCTATACTGCACGACTAAAGATCCCATTCACACGAATTCATATCTCACGAGTGCACTTTCTGTTCGCATATCGGGTAGAAGACTGAACATATCGAGCGCAATTAATTCATATCTCGATTGCGCAACGTTAACAGTTTTGAATCCCGAGCTCATAAGTTCACACAGAGCAAACGAATTGTCATCTTATATGCTAATTTTCATTATGAGCATACAGGTTAAAGACTTGAGTACACATTTAACATACGGCTAGTTTAGCTTGTATTTTTTTTTCTTTTTGCAAACAAATAATTTGTCTATTTAACAACATGCCAGTCTTCCAAACAATGTTTATCTTAGACGGTTGAGCTACTCTTTAGCATTCTCCTTTGATTTCTTATTCATTTTTAAAAATTTTGGTTCTGATTGGTAATGATGAAAATTTATAATGAACACATTTTTTTATTCTACTATTCGGACGAAAGCACTACAGATAGACTGTTAGTCTCAGCTGGTATGTGTCACCTAAAAGTGCTTATTAGTAGTTAATTTATACATCTTTGGCTTTCTTAACCTTTTGCTTCAATCAACCATGTAGCGCTGTAATTCCCTGTTACAATATTTAAACTATAGGCTCCAAGGAGACGGTGTCGCTCACCTGATCAGTATTTTTGCATACAATAATACATGAACTGAGTTTTACTATGCGATTTGCTGTGTGCTAGATTATTCCACATTGGCTAGATGTATAGGGGAAGGGCTGAGTTCTCACAAAACATGTTTAACCCCGCCGTATTTTTGCGCCTGTCCCAAGTCAGGAACCTCTAGCCTTTGTTAATCTTGTGTGTTTTTTTTTTAATTTTGGCATTTGTATGTTTCAGAGTTTAGTGTGGCGTCCATTTCGCTGAACTCTTAAACATTATTGTTTAGGGGTCAGTTGATGTCTGCCTCTGGGTGCAGGATTTTCTCGCTGAATTGAAGACCCATTGGTGGTCTTGGACTGTTTTCTGCTCTCTGGTCGGTTTGTTGTCTCTTTGACACATTCCCCGTTTCCATTTCTATTTTATGATACAATGCCACAATAATAGTATATTTCGCCTCTCCAATACCTTTTTTAACGGAAACTGTGTGGACCGAAATCTTGACTTAACAGTCATATTTACTTGTCTAAATACACATTTCAAGTAGGCAGTGCTGTTGTCTCATGGAGATTGTTCTTATATCTTTTTATATCGTTACTGATCATCAAAGCAACACTTATCAAATTTTGCAGTGCATATTACAAAATGTTTAAATGGTTATCACAACAAATTTACTGATCGTTACAGATACTGATCATATGTTGATAATTTGTAGATCTTCTTTCTGATCATTTTTTGCTTTTTTAAAGTTTCTGTTTTTCTATTATGGTGTAAGATAACAATAAAAAACGCAAAATAAAATGAAAAAGTAACCGAGGGGCGACCAACAATTCCCGCCATGTTACCATATTTGTAGATCATGTCTTGCTGATGATTTTCCATCTCTATTACTGGTTTCGAGATAATAAACAAAAATGAAAAGTCTTAAAAATCGCAATTCATGGGCTATAAAGAGTCAACTGACAAATTCGGTAATAATTGCATTATTTGTTGTTTTAAATGTCTCCCTATCTATAATATATGATTTAAGATAATAGTCATTTAATTAATCATCTCACAGTTTTATTGTAAATGGACATTTGGTAGATCTTAAAACAAATGGAACACATCTGCTCTAGTTTTTCTCTATCTTAAGCGTTTTTCAAGATAATATAGACATAACTTGCATATTACCTCTATATTTTATTTTTAGCCTTTTCAGCCATATTGAATGGGATCATCGGAAGCGTTTTTTAAACTATATACCCCAATGATGATTGTGGCCAAGCTTGGTTCAGTTTGGCCAAGCAGTTTCAGAGGAGAAGACCTTCATCGGTGTTTTTTCTCCAATTAGTGTCGGTATAACCTAATCCATACATGAATTTTGGAATGCGGAAGCCAGTAAGTGGGTTGATAATCTCAAAATGTTTGATAATTATGTGTTTCAGATTCTTGTTTAGACTAAAAGTTAAAATGTTGGTATTGAGTTAGATTGTTAGATTATTTACTGTTGTTTGTGAATTGTTTGTCTATGTATGAATGTTAATTTGTCGAGGAGATCTATTATTGGCTTCTGGTTCTGTAAGTCGTTTACGTTAAATAAATAATTAAGTATCTGGCAATCATACAATCGCGTAATATTTTGTTCGGCTTTTTTTTTTACAATTAGTATCAGAAACATATATACTTGTGTATATATATCTCTGTTAGTCTCTGTTAGTATGTATACAATAAGTAGCAATTACTGCATAAATGGTGATAAAAAGGTGTCAGTCAATCTAATACCTGTAATATATGACATTTGAACTAGACAAACAAAACAATTACTGTTTTGCTACTATAATTGTACATTTTAATTTTAGTAACTATGATAATTTCCCGCAGCACCATGATCAATTAATCGTCAACCATTATCATTTTAACAGTACAAAATCACATTTCAATACTAAGCGCAGCTACTCAGATGTACACAATGTAACGGTCACATCCGAGTTATCTCCCTATAGACGCATGAAATTTATATATATAAAGTGTTGTTTTCTTTTTTACAGCACTGTATCGATACCTCTGTTGTTGGACTATCAGTCTCCGAGGGTATCATGATCAGCTCAGTAGTCAGTACTTCGGTATTGGCATGAATTATAGCAAACCTCTATTAAGTTGTCCCTTGGCCTGGATGGGGACCTTCATTTCTTTATCCGGCATCATTTTTAGACCATTTTTCTCTATTCATTATTTATTTTCCCCATTATTCTCTTTTCTTTATAATTTAACACCCCATTATCCTCTATTCTTTACATTTGTTTGCCAATTTTTCTGTATTCTTTTTTGTATATTATTCTGCACTTTTGATCATTATTCTCTATTCTGTAAATCCCATCCAGATCCTCGTTTATAAATTCAGTAACTATTAAGAAACAAAGGGTTCCACTCCCTTATGCAAATGTGATCTTAGATTGATTTGGCTATCATTTCTAGGTCCTTTCTGGTCATATAACTCCTCAACTGTTTCGGTTCTTATACATCCTTGGCTTTCAAATATTAGCCTTTGAGCGTTCCTAATGAAGGTAAATACAGAAAAGCGCTTCGGACACATGATATTTATGAAGTGTTGTTTTCATTATTTATTTTGTATAGCAAATATAACGAAAATCACTTACAAAATCTTTATTTCATCTAAACAATTTATACAAGAAAAACTTTCCTTCATTTGACATTATTATAAATATGTATCATATATATTTAGTTAAATTATACACCAAAAAATGTATAAAATTCACATCCTTTATTGCACTTAACGGCCTTGTACGACGACTGATGAAACAATGAAACATGAAAAATAGATATCAAACAGATATGAAATCAATGATATTCTCCAAAGGTTATCATCATCTTGTTTCGGTAGAGATAATGCCCCCCTTTTTGTGGAACCACTGATAAATCTCGATTCTTTGAAACCTTGATTTCAAATGAAATTCTGAAAATGAATTAACACATTCCTTTTTCCAAAGCGAATGACGAATCCAATAATGAAAGCATAGCGTAGTGGTCCTAATTCATATCACTACAATTGAAGTGGCGGCACAAAATTACGTGATGTTATATACAAAAAAACATATTCTATACATTTTCGAGTTGAAAATCCACAAACTTTAAATTCGAAATAGATTTCCAACCAATTATTCTTCCGGATACGTCTCTGACTTGCTGCGTGTCCAAGGAATGGCTTGATGACTTACAACTGATCATAATTATATTTTCATTGTGCTGATTGTGCTTTCCAAGGTGAAAATTTGACAGGACCTTTCGGTTTTATAGAAGATAGTCTATCCATACCGCCGTGTCCTCTGAAATGGATATGATAATGTCACATACATCAAGTCAGTGTTTCAACACGAAATATGGACGATCAGATTTAGTGAGAACTTTTAAAGTAGAAGTGAGTTCTATATTATGAAATGTAAGTTTAAGAAAAGAAGAGAAACATACAATTCACTCTGTATTTCAATTCAAAATAAATGGAGAATGTGTCCATGGGACCCAGTTTATGCCCCCGCTTGCATATAACATTATAAAGGGGCATAACTCGAGAACGGTAAAAGTGACGCCACCCAAATTCGAACTTGATCTGTGTTTTGTGGTAATAAGCATTGTGTATAAGTGTCATAACATTTGGTTGAGACAAACTAAAGGTAGAGAACGGAAACCAATTTTGGGATATACGTACGGTCGGACGGAAGGACAAGGTATATACACATAATGCCCCCTGCGGTGACGACGGGGGCATAAAAAGCCGACTTTCTCACGAGAAGGGTTATGTAAACAAGACAATATAACCTGAGATTATGATGAGTGATCGGATGCGCAAAAGAAAGTACAGTTATAGAAACCTATACCCAAGATAAACTTATTCATAAACAATAGAGAATACTTTGCCTGAAAACAATTGATCATGTAGATAATAGAATGATGACTCGTGTTTGATTATGATGGTGTCAGAAGGAATTAATTATTCTGCTGATTTATATATAGTATCTACTGTAGTCTTCTGACTGTGGAGGTGAAAATTGCTGATTGCTTATTTTGCAATTATCACTCAAAATTGTCTTATAATTTCAACACTTGAAGGGAATATTTATGAAACTAAATTATATTTTATCAAAGCAAATTCGATGACCCATTGGCGTATTTTGAAAAGATATAGGCTCCTATTGCAGATTCAGGATTAAAAAGGGGCAGGGTAGTGGAGGCCTACTGCAAAATAAGAGTCAGTCAATTTCAGAAAAAAAACACATTATTTTGGACGTTAGGGCCCCGCCCTCAATTTGTTTTCGCCACTGGGAACATCATGCACTGACTTTACTTCACACAATGGCAATTAAAGTCTGAACGTAGCCGGAGTTTCGAACAACATCATCTCGTATTTCGGAACAAGAACATATGACCAAACTATAAATGCTTAAAGATGTCGCAGACCTACAAATTATACAGGTATTGGAAAAGTTGGAGTAGTTAATAGTTGATAGGAAGAACATTCCAAACCGAAACCAGATTCTATTGGAAGTAAAGATACGTATTGTCTTTCAGATACAAATCAATAATTCTAATGTAAATTCTACATTTCCCTTTCATGTTCTCTTATCTTTTTTTCAGGTATATGAATAAAAGGATACTTTTATAGGTTTTTTATCTACCCACTGCAATCATCATCGATTTACTTATCTGGGGGAAATGATCCAAAATGCAGGTGTTATGATAATCAGTACATACTTAACTACTGTAAGCTGCAGATAATTTCCTGATCCCCGAATCGTCTGGTGTGCCTGCATATGTGTCATGCCCCTGGCATCGGAATTTCCGATACCTATTATAGAATCACCAGCAGACAAAACACCGGCCGCTGGACTACCAGATTCAACCTAAGATAAAAAAAAAATCATGTATATAAACCAAATGACCACTGATAAAACTAGTAAATTGCGCATTCTGATTTACATCAAATCAAATAAAAGAATATAATTCAAGAAATTTATTATTGACATGAAAGTGCAAACAAATCAAAAAACGCTCTCATGTAGTTACAAAGATACATAACAAGTTTCAGTCTGACTTTAAAATAAACTAGTCAAAGAAACATACTGTTTTCTGTAAATTATTAATTATGTATTTTACACATTTTACAAAAATTTGCTAATTCTGGGGCTGGCATGCTGGTGCCCACGGTATTCTTATTGTACCCAGAGGAGGTAACTTTCTCGACTGCCATACAAGAGATAGGTTTAGCTAGCTATTAAACCCGGTTTAATCAACCATTTTCTATATAAATTCCGACCGTGCAAGACCCTCATGGGTAGTCAAGGTCGTTAAAAAAACCCTCGTCGTCGTTTCTACATAAGGTATTGCCTGTAACAAGTCAGAAATATGACAGTTGTTTTCCATTCGTTTGATGTGTTTGAGCTTTTGATTTTGCCATTTGATAAAGGACTTTCTGTTTTGAATTTTCTTTTGAGTTCTTTTTTTTTTCTATTGGGTAAACCATCGATAATTTGCAAAAATTGGAGAAAATAAAGTACATTATGCATAATGGAAACTTCAGTAAAACATGTATAGAATAGGTTTAAATTTGAGAAAAATGAAGATGCATATATAAATTTGTCAATATTTGAGTTGTTTGAAAACGTTACAATCTGATTTCCAAATCTCATATTACATGCACGAGTATGCATGATCTATTGCAGTTTACAATGGTTATTCTCATTGGAAAGGATGTATTGCGCTGTATGTCACTTTGATGACGTTAGCCCGAATGCAATGGAATGCGTGTATCTAATTTACAACCAAGATATTATTGTCATTTTCAATAATTTAGGAGAGGATCTTTCAGCGGTTTGATCATAATATTATGTTAATGAAAAGCATGATCAATGCGGGGTATCCAATTTCATTTAACGACATCTTGGTGTAAATATGTTTAAAGAAAAAAATACATATACAATATTCCGAAATTTGCCTCCTTTTTAGAGGAGAGGAAAAAAGGAGGGACTTCGGAATTGTGGTAGTTATGTTGATATTAGTGATAATTACTACTGAAGTTAGGTCTGGGTTTTTCTTGTACAAAAGAGAAGAAGCAAACTTTCATCTGATGTATCTTAGATGATGGCGATGATTATATATAATCTTGCATGTGTTCCGATTTAAAGTGTAGAAGTCTGATGTCATTTGGAGATGTAATTCTTTTCTCATGAAGTTTCTTGTGGAGACTTGTCACAATGCCAGGAACATTTGCCAATCATCAAACAATGTTAGTTTCTTGTATAATTCTAACTATTGATTGTTATTATTAGGAAACAAAGGCTATAGGTAAAAGAAGATGTGGAATATGAGTCAACGAGACAACAACCAAAAAGCACAACAAAACCAAGTAGAGCATCCAGATGTCAATATATAATCTTTAATAATTGACAAGACTTCGTGTCCATACCATATATTTTAATAAGCCTCCACAAGCATTGCACATTTAACGGAGACTACTAAAGTTCTGCATCAGAAAATTCCTTCATTGACAACAAACAGTGAGATATAGTTTGTACGTATACCGTAAAATATGTTACTGGTCAAAATAACTAACTCCAAACAGGGTATTATGTTCTGATAATATTTCCCAAAGAAAAATTCTGATAAAAATATATTTTGATTTCGATCTTTTATTAATGTAAATTCAAAGCATGTCAAATACATGAATGAAAACGATGGTGCTATACCCACCCAACTGGTTCTGCAACAACCAAATATTGTGAAATTCACTTTACTATTTGGATTCGAAATTGAACTACTCGAGTGAAATGCCAAGTACAATACCCAAAATAACAAAACCATAAAGTGAGGTAAAAATTCCAAATTCCAAACTGGAACCCTCAGTTAAAAACCTTATTGCTTATCGCCACATGACGAGAACCCTAATATATACTAAAAAAGAAAAAAACAAACAAACCTCCAACACAAAATCCAAGTGGATTTTTGGAGAGAAGTTCCACTTTACCAATTTTAAACTTCTTGTCAGCATCAAAAGTTAAACAACTCATTGGTTCCAAAAAAAAATATATGATAAAGCGAGAGTTGCTCCAGCTATAGGTTCTTGAGGACACGGGACAATTTTTTTATTAGCCCTCCCCCTTTTTCCCAAAATCCATTTTTGTTAATTTTAATTATTTTCGACTTTTTCTGTGTTTCTATTGGAAATATGTGATTTACCATTTACTATCAATTTCTAGTTTACTATCCACAGTTACTGATAATATCACTCTAGATACATTATCAATGACCTCTGTTGATATTAAACTAAGAATTTATAGTAAATAGAAAATCCATGTTATTTCTAGTATATTTATGTTAATATAACACAGAAATACGCGAAAGTTATTGAAATTGAAATAAAAAATTACGGATTTTGAAAGAAGGGAAGGGCTGCAAAAAAATTGTTCCAAAGTACCTATGGCACCAGTATAATCATTTTATGTTTTGAAGCTGTTCATTACACTAGCCCTGTATTGCGGCACACACGTGTATAGCTTCGTGCAAAATATATCTATTTGACATTGAAAAGGTCGAACTAGAATTAATACTTTACAGGGTTTACTTGATTGAAGTGCTTATTGCTGATAGTTGTACAAATACAATGCGTATGTTGGGGCGTGTGAAACCAATTATATTGTCTGTTTGAACAATTTTCTGATTTCTTATCAATCTGACGTCTGCAATAATGTAGTACAGGAATCATATGCCATATTAATAGACAGGGAACCATAAAATATTAGGTTTCAGTCGGCCTTAATTTGGCCCGTGTATATATACAATGATTAGAGGTTAATTGATGGCAGCTTCTGTATTTCAGTGAAGAACAATTAACTAATTTCTTGTCTAATTTAAAACAACTTAAACACAACAGTATCTCAATAAATATCAAATTGTACCTTTAATCGCACTTTTTATCTTAAAAATGTAGCACTTATGTTTCAATGTGGCATGGAAGAATTTTATGCATTACGTTATTGTGTAGAGTGATAGATAGTTTATCAATGTTAGATGGTTCAATTGAAATAAAATGTAATTACATATTATTCTCGGTTTCAATTTGATTTGAAGCCATTTCTTACATTATAATTATGAAGAAAAAGAGATCATTGGGGCATATAGGCAAATGAGACAACCCCCACCCCCAAAAAAAGGGATGACAAATTATACATGTAATTAAACGAATTGTAATTAAACGAATAAGTAACTTTTTACTCAGTCAATCCAAGAAAAATGAAAGGACTTTTTGTGTTCGGAAAAGAAATCAATCTCAATACATTACTTAAATCATTTATCGGAACAAACTAAATTGAATGGAATTGTTACCACGCCTACCTTTTTTACTTGAAGTGGTACATTAAAATCCCGTCCTCCTGCTAACCGAAATCCCCACGGTTGTCCTCCGCTCTTCTGTATCTGAACCGTCGCCATTCTACGAACCTACAAAACTTCCAAGATACAATCAGCAAACACTTGTTACAGTGCTAGATTGTATGTCACCCCTGAGATCCTCCCAAAAGACAAGATACCACAACAATCTATGAAATCACATGATTCCTGCTAGAACGATCATCTGTTGGGGAGTAAACAAGAAGTTCTAAATATAAACATAACATTCCATGTAGATACTACATATCATTAATAGATGATACCACTATCTATTAGTTTATCTGTCTTTCATTTATGTCGAAAAATTATGTACATATTTTCTATTTCATTGTTTTATCTTTTCTCTTTGTTTTCATTTTTAATTTATATATATACATGAATTTGATATGAAAAACTTAGTTTTTCAATATGATATTTCAGGTTGCATGAAGGGGAGTTTCGCAAAAGTTAAACACGATTGAAGGGTTAATTATAAATTCAACAATTTTTTTCAACAAAATAACCGACTCCATGTTTTTTCCGCATTTTTTTCATATAGAATTGTGCGAATGTGATTCAGATCATTGTTAAACAAAGACTATTTGGTAAAATGTTCAGTACATGGATGAATTCATTTGTGTTCTTTTACTAATTTATATCTTTTTTCATATAGATCTGTCAAATCAATCATACAAGCAAATTGTACTTATTTCAAAATCCTTGTTAGTTTTTGTTGGGAAATGTTCTCTAATGTCAGCTATATACTGAAATCTGAACCTGTTTATTGTTTTATATTGTATAATAACTTTGATTGAGTTAAGCCATTTCAATTGATATTTTATAGTGTGTTTTTCTATGTTGTGATGTTACACTATTGTTTCAGATAAGGGTGAAGGTTTGGTACCATTAAAACGTTTAAACCCGCTGCAATTGTTTGCACCTGTCCTAAGTCAGGAATCTGATGTTCAGTGGTTGTCGTTTGTTGATGTGGTTCATAAGTGTTTCTCGTTTTTTATATAGATTAGACCGATGGTTTTCCCGTTTGATTGGTTTTAAACCAGTAATTTTTGGGGCCCTTTATAGCTTGCTGTTCGGTGTGAGCCAAGGCTCCGTGTTGAAGACCGTACTTTGACATATAATGGTTTACTTTTATAAATTTTGAGTTTTCTCATTGGCACTCATACCACATCTTCTTATATCCATTAAGGTTTCAAAATAATAGTACGACCGATGCTTGGACCGATGATTTGGCATACGTTTGCCTGTTTTTGGTGTTATGAATACATCGCAATCGTAGACCGGTCGGACTGTGAACGTTGATCCAAGGATCTTGCATTTGGGCTGAATGCGTATAACAAACGTTGAGTTCTCTGGAGCTGATAGTCAGTGGTCTGTAGTGGAATATTTATACCGCTACCTTTTATACCTTTTAGTCTGAAACAAGTTCAATTCCGTATAGAAGAAGAAGATAGATGTTTTATATTCCTTCAAATGGGTTCACAAAGCGCATATCTGTTTTTTTTTTCAATTTTCTTGCAACCGTTCGAAAAGTGTTGAAAAAATGTCTCTTCAAAATACGATCAAATTCACCCTTTAAGCAAGTAATAACAATTCTAAAAAAGTGTTTTTGCAAAAGAAATAGATCCAAACAATCACCTCAAAGATCAAAGCAACAAAAATGTCTTCAAAACATCAAACACCCCAACCCAAGCCCATTCCACATCCCAGAAAAAAAAAATTTCCATCATAATAAAAAAAATAATGTCTTAAAGAAAGATAATAAGTTTATCTTCCATGGCGATATGAACCATAACATGAATTACCTGTTAACCACATTTTTATTTGTCATCTAGCCATCAAGGAAACAAATTTCTTTTCAAATATCTGATTTTTTTGATTTTTTTCTTTCTATTTATTTCCTCTAGCTGCGAGTCTCTCTAAATATTTGTCTGGCACGGGGACATAAATTTCATCTATTTACTGTACTTCGATTTTGGTTTAATCAGTATTATCTATAAAGTCATTTGGCTCTTTTGTATTCATTTTTTCAACTAAGTGAATGAATGATGTAACCCATGCAACAAAGTTGTCGACGCAATTTTTATAGTCTAGCCACTTTTTGTCCATCTTTCTTTGTTATAGGCTTTAGCAACATAATCATTGCAATCTTCAAAATTTAGGTGTCAGTTCCAGTAAATGGAAAACGTACAGTTAAGAAGAGTATCGATATATGAATTTTCAGATGTTTCATGCCAGCAGGTAATCTTTCAATCATATATTTTCTTGACGAGAATTCGAGAACGATAAAAAACAACTGTTTTGTACTCTGCAACATGGAGCAGCAAATACTAATTTTAAAGTCTTTGATATGGTATGAGAGTTGATCGAACCAAGGACGACCTCCCATTCCCCTATTTACAGCGAGCACGCTATACCACGAACATACTGGAGCTGTAGCTACAAAAGATGTACGAGTAACAAATAACATAGTTAAAGGCTTACGACTTGTATTTTTTGTAAAACGCAGGCGTTGTCAATTATAATCTCTGATCGAAAAATTGAATTTTGAAAAATGAAAAATGAATAATGGAAATAATTCAGCGCGGTTCGATAAGAACATTAATTTTCTCTATACAATGACATTCTCTGGACTTTTGTGGACAAGACAGAATCCATCTATGTCTTGCATGGTATTTCATAAATATTCGTTCATTTAGAGTTAAACAAAGCTGGTCAAAAACTTTGCTGATTAAGTTTGTTAAGATGCAACTATAGCTTCTGTTCATACTGCTTCCTAAGTAAAATATTTACAAGAAAAACCATTTCTTGTTACTACTATGCGAGAGAAAAAAATATTTCGATTTCTGCGATTAAAAAAAAACTGAAAATGTGATTTACCACATGCTCTCTAACTGTATCTCAACTAGCCAGAACTTAACCTTTTTCAAACTGAATAGAATATTTGTACTTCTTTGATAGTATGAAACCCTTTGAAATCATGCAAGGAAAGACATTGTATACATCACGTCTCATTAAGGGTGAATGTTTATTTTACAATTCAGTATGCCATGATATGTATAGTTACAACAAGAGTGTCACATCCACATCCATGTCCTGCCTACTCCTATTATAGTATTCCATTTACCTAAAATCTTTCTTTGACTGGCAAAACATATTTAGTTCCGTACTCTTTTTACCCAGTCGTAATTTAATAGCTTTGTTAAGGATGCGACTTATCTCCGCATTTCTATATGCGAAGAGCAACGTGAAGTGCGACACTAGTGGAACAAAAAAATTTCACCTTTCCGGAGCACCTGAGTTCGCTCCCGGTGTTGGTAGATATCAAGCTGTTTCTGTATGGCGTGTTCTGCACTATTGTTTGTCTTTTCATATATTTATTTTGTTTACCATTGTGATGTCTGTCCTTCGACTATCCTTAGATGATACACCTTTGTAGCTTTCACTTCTTTTATGAAGGTATGAAAATGTGTTTCAAAGGCCTGGTATTGGTTATCAAAGATATATTGATTTGAACATTATCAATAAATGGGTTCACAACTTTTGTTCACTAAAAAAAATGAATACGTCAGTAAGTTTGGTTGACATGAAGCCTTTTTTTCAGCCGGGAAGGATTGTGCCTGATATTCATATGATGAAGACATAATCTTTCAATCAGTTTAATTGAAGTCTGGAGCTGGCATGTCAGTTAACTGCTAGCTGATATATAGTAGTCTGTTGTTATTTATGTATTATTGTCATTTTGCTTATTTTCTTTGGTTACATCTTCTGACATCAGACTCGGACTTCTCTTGAACTGAATTTTAATGTGCGTATTGTTATGCGTTTACTTTTCTACATTGGCTAGAGGTATAGGGGGAGGGTTGAGATCTCATAAACATGTTTAACCCCGCCGCATTTTTGCGCCTGTCCCAAGTCAGGAGCCTCTAGCCTTTGTTAGTCTTGTATTATTTTTAATTTTAGTTTCTTGTGTACAAATTGGAGTTTAGTATGGCGTTTATTATCACTGAACTAGTATATATATTTGTTTAGGGGCCAGCTGAAGGACGCCTCCGGGTACGGGAATTTCTCGCTGCATTGAAGACCTGTTGGTGACCTTCTGCTGTTGTCTGTTCTATGGTCGGGTTGTTGTCTCTTTGACACATTCCCCATTTCCATTCTCTATTTTATTTGATTGATAACTGGTTATTTCTAATTCAAATATAATTTCATATTTTACTAAGTGTTTAAACATTTTTCATTTTTTTTTATACATTTCAATAACTTATATGTTATCAGTCATGCAATTTTCAGGCTTATGGCGGTACCAGGGTGAAAATGAGTTTTTTTGCATTTATATTAAGTATACATAGATTCAAAACACACTGAGGGGGAGGGGGGAGGGTATTTAAAGAAAAATCAAAATGTAATTGTAGCTTTAATAACTAATTATTTTTTTATTTCTATATCAACCATTCGGTTGCCATAGCAACAATGTACCGGAATCTGCAATCTAAATAACATTGACTTAAACATTTTCTTTCTCCTAAGGAAAACAACATCAACGCTTAGAAAGTGAATACCAAACAAGAAAGCTTCCAACAACACGTTCATGTTGTTTATGTAGTTCTAAGACAGGCAAAGATAAAATAAAACCTAGAAACGAATATGGGATGAGTAACTATTGGGGTCCTAATGGGCAGACATATCTTGCTTGATTTACATGTACCGGTATATGTCCATACATATATATAAAAAAGAAGATGTGGTATGATTGCCAAATAGACAACTCTCCACAAGAGACCAAATGACACAGAAATTAACAACCATAGGTCACAGTACGGCAACAATGAGCAAAGCCCATACCGCATAGTCAGCTATAAAAGGCCCCGAAATGACAAATGTAAAACAATTCAAACGAGAAAACTAACGGCCTAATTTATGTCCAAAATAATGAACGAAAAACAAATATGTAACACAACAACAAACGACAACCACTGAATTACAGGCTCATGACTTGGGGCAGGCACATACAGAATGTGGCGGGGTTAAACTAATTTGAAGGCGCAAACCCTCACCCTAACCTGGGACAGTGCATGGTCTAACAGTACAACATAAGAACAAACTATAAAAATCAGTTGAAAAAGGCTCAACTCATCAGATGGATACCAATAGAAATACATTTAACAAAAACACAAACACAGAGTGGACGTGGACGGGTACTAGTACATCCAAACAACAAAAAGACACTAAGTACAGATCTGAGAGTACTCACAGTTACTGACAGCTAGTTCATATATGTTCATATTTTCCCTTACAAAGTGAAAAATGAGATTTAATTCAAGAACCTAATGTTCATGCATGCTGCAATCTGTATATGTAATAAATTAGAGAAAAATATAAGCACTGCACTTTGAAATGCCTATAATGATCTAAAGTTTATTTCCAGATCCCTTTGAGAATTAATTTTCATTCAGATCAATGCAATGAAATCTAAAAGATAAATTTTGTGAAATAAGAATGCGATTCTAAACGGGATTTTATCCTAAATTATTAATTTTACGTAAACAAATCTACTTGTTTTGTATATCTTGATATAAGATTCAAATTTCCTCAAGTCAAGAAAAACTTTAATTTATCGCATTATATAATTGGACATTTAATAACAGGTGCCCCGATTACGTTATGTGACTTTCAATCGACGTTTTCTCATTATGACGTTTACCGCCATAAGCCTGGAAATGTCAAGGCGGGTATAACTAAATTATGAAAACATTAGTTGCACATGGACTAGGTCTATTGCTTTATATTAGATGTCAACCCCGATGTAAAAAAAGATGACAGCCAATCAGAATCCCATATCAGATATATTTTTTTACCGGTTGAATTTTTATTACAAAACAGTATACGACTTCATAGTTTTTATCGTGATGTTGCTTATAGAGCCCGTAAATCAAGATATGATTCATAATAACTCAGTGATCATTTGAATAAACTTGTTCATAAATGTTATCAATTTAACACCGCAGCAAGATCTCTGCAGATTTGTTTTTATTGGTACAAACATTGATTTAGTATTTATATATATATATATACAGTCACGAAAACGTATGGTCCTTCATCCTGTCGATAGTATTTACATATATTTTGGCATTACACAAGGTCGTACTTTTCCTAGACTGTTTATGACGTCTTTGCACTAAATCAGTTGATTATGTACATGATTGATACCTTAGTCTGAAAGAACATTATGTATTTATAAGTAGTAATTGGCTTTGAACTAGTTTTCAGTACTTTTAGATAGGGACTTTGCGTCTAGTGTTTTTTATTTTAGTTGTTTTTGTGCTTCGTGCCAATTTGATTAGTCAAAAGCCATTTTCAACCGATTTGTACAGTTTGTTCTTATGTTGTGATGTTACACTACTGTCCCAGGTTAGGAGAAGGTTGAGAGCTCACAAACATTCTTTATATGCTTGTTCCAAGTCATGAGCCTGTAATTTAGTGGTTGTCATTGGTTGCTGTCTGTCGTATTTGTTTTACGTTTATTGTGTTGTCACAAGTCAGGCCATGAGTTTTCTCCTTTGAATTGTTGAAATGTCATGTCGGCCTTCCATAGCTGACCATATGATACGAGTTTTGCTCATTGTTGAAAGCCGTACTTAAGTGACCTTAAGTCGAGAACATCAACGTCATTTGGCCACATTGGCAATCATACCAAAATCTCCCTATTTTTATGTAGTATGAACAGTTTTTAAGGTAAAAAAGAAGAGTAGCAAGATTTTAACAATGTCTGACCCTCATGTATAAAAGACTTTCAAGAATCCAACACCTGGAACTTTCGAGACAACATTAGAATAGATTGCATCTTCAAAGTATCAAGTCAACTTTTTAACAACAGTGGCGGATCCAGGGGGGGGGGGGTCCTGGGGTTGGACACCCCCCCCCCCCCCTTTATCCTGGGTTGTAACCCTGCTTTAAAAAATGTCTGGAACCGTCCTTGAACAACGTATAATCAACAATTAAATTCAAGTCAAAATCCAACCTTGTAAATAGTGCACTGAATACTAGCCAATAATATTCTGTATATATATTTGTGCTTCGTGCATTATATATATAATATAGAAAAAAACTTAAATGTGGAAATTAACGACATGATAGCGGCAATACATCATTGTACGACTAAGATAGAAATCTATACGTTATTTATATATATTTATATATAGAGAGAGTGCAGTTCTCTGCACTTATTGACCCATTGGTGACGCATTATACAATGTTTGTTCATGAAACATAGTTTTTATCATACCTCAGTATGTATTTTTTATATAAAATTATAGACGATTAAATTTACTATTTTTACGAAATTGTCTGAAAAAAGACTATTAGGCCGGTAGTTTTCTCAATTGAATTGTTTCATGTTTTTCATGTCGGGGCCTTTTATAGCCGACCATACGGTACGGGTTTTTCTCATTGTTGAAGGCCGTACGGTTGCCTATAATTTCTTACATTCACTTCATTTGAACTTTATATATATAGTGCATAGTTGTCTCATTGGCAACCATAACACATCTCCTTATTTTTATATATTCCTGATAATAGTTTTGAAAACTCTTTACTGGAAGCAAACATTACCCCGTACTTTCTGTATAATAAAACACCTATTTAATGACAATTCGGACAAAAGCAAGTGTATTCATTATACTCAACAACAAATGTAGTTCCCTTTAATTTCAGTGTTTTTTTTCTTATTTTTTTTCTTTGTCTTTTTTTGGAATTTTTCATTATTTGTTTGCATTTAGGTGAAAGATAAGACTTTAAATATACTGTCTGAAAAAAATCTTTTTGAAATTTTCTGTAGAAATGAGTGATTTGGTCAGGTAAATAAAGGTGGAATTTCCTCTTCTCGGAAGCTCTCTGGCTTCATCCTTACCGGTGTCTTTATGTTTGGGGTTACCAGGAGAGAATGAGCTGGTAGACTTTTCTGAATTTTTGATATGTTTTGGGATAAAAGTCAAACTTTATGCACACCAAATCTTTTTAGAATATAGCAGGTGGAATTTTTTTTAATTGCCATTATGTTTTAATAGACAAATAGGGGAAAATAACTGTGTTCTCGGGCCTTATAGGGAGAACATTAACAAGCTTCTCTTATACCTAGGGAAGACTGGATTTGAAATATGCACACTTCAAAACAACAGTAACATTTTATTTTGATTATAAATAAATAATTCCATCAATAGATAAAACAATTAAATAATAACAATGAGTGTTAATTGTCCTCTGTAATACTGTTGTGTAATTTGAGCGAGTCTCTTAGTCTTAGGTGCTTTAATACACTCAGTTCTTGTTGTAATGGTAAAAACCTTTGTATTTAGATGCACTCTGTATATTGAGTTTTCTCTGCAAGTCGGGATCAGAAGCAGCTACTGGTGGAACTAAAAATGAACACACACAAAAAAATTATTAAATATATTTGACAATTAAAATTCAAAATGTTGAAAGTTTTTCTGTGGTTTATTTTGAAACTTGTCTTTAATGAACGAAATTTTCAAAATAAGAAACAATTCATATTATTTCAAAATAATTATGGACAGGTATTATAACGGCTCAGACGCACTTGCCAATCTGACGAAAAGGAGCTTAATTCTAAAAACGCAAGTACTTTTAAATCGGACAATTGGATTTAAAAGTGTTCAAGAAAACAAAATAGCTTATACGTTCAGGTATTTCACATCCCATCTTTTATGGTAATGTTCTATACAACACACAAATGTCGTTATTCAACTCAAAAGCAAACCAAACCTTTAAAAAGACTTATTCACAAGGGATATAGTTTCGATACTTTTGACAAGTCATTAAAGATGGCATTTTTTGGAATTAATATTGATTCATTCATACCGGGGCCTTTGCATCGGAAATAAACATATTTATTCTAAAACCAGTTGTTGGAATGATGGGGTTATGTTTTTCTTTTATAATTTATGATGGCATGATACTAAACCACTAACGGGAAAAATTGTGGTTGATTTTCATATGATGATGACATAATATTTCAATCAGTTTGATTAGAGTCTGGAACTGCCATGTCAGAAACTGATAGTAGTCCTTTGTTAATTTATGTTTATTATTGTCATTTTGCTTAGTTTCTTCCGAAAGTTTTAAATATTCTAACGCTGGGCTCGGACTTCAGTTGAACAGAGTTTTATTGTGCGTTTTGATATGTGTTTGTTTATTCAACATTGGCTAGAGGTATATTGGGAGGGTTGAGATCTCACATGATTAAAACCGCCGCATTTTTGCGCCTGTCCCAAGTCAAGAACCCCTAGCATTTGTTAGTCTTGTGTGTTTTATTTAATTTTTGGTTCATTTGTATGTTTCGGAGTTAAGTGTGGCGTCCATTTCACTAAACTAGTATACATTATTGTTTAGGGGCCAGCTGGAGTCCGCCTCCGGATGCGAGATTTTCTCGCTGCGTTGAAGACCCATTGTAGCCTTTGGTTGTTTTTTGCACTTTGTTCGGCTTGTTGTCTCTTTGACACATTCCCCATTTCCATTCTCTATTCTACTATAAACTCGACGAAAAGAATGTTATCCACATGTTCTGATAGTAAAATTGACCATTTAAAATGTTCAGCGTTTCTTTATCATTGCAATGCAGAGTATAGTGCTTTTCTTGATAGCACCGAGTTGACTTTCTGAATACTTGTCAATACAACTTAAGATTTCTTATTTGTATGATACTGTTGCTGCTGTCGAATATACTTACATTTTCCTACTTTTCCCTCGCAGTCTTCCCATGGGTTGTAAGTTGTTTGTGTATAGTCATGGCGGGTCGGTGAATATAATGTCTTTTTCAAGTGTGGACGGAATGGTAACTGAGCATTTAGGTGTTGGTTAAAGTTCTCTTTGTCATATACACTAATCAAACCTAGAAAAGAAAAAGTTATACTATAGTATTTCTTACGTCAGGTTTCGATCTGCAGTATATTTGTTCATGGTGTTCAATTATTTAAACATTTGTTTAATTTTTATAAATTATGTCTTTAAATCGATCGCAGCTCGTATTCTATATAATTGTTAGTAGAAGATGGGGGTTTTAAAATATTTGAATGAAATGTGCTAAATCCAGGACACAATTTTGTAACGTCTACAAGTTTGAATTACTTTAGTAAATTAAATTCATAAAAGGGATAATACATTTAACCGTTATTAAGAATATAAATTTTTAAATCCTTTTCGTCTTTCAAACATAAATTGGACCAGATCACCCCGTCAAACTTCTTTACACTGTGCCGACAGACCATATAAAAGTGGAGTACTTAACAAACTTTGTCTATTGAAACAAACACAACTTTATTGTATCTTTCCTCCATAATAATTCATTATGCAAAAATTAAAGTACTCAAATATAAAGTGTTATAGACCTCGTTATGACATCGACATATATATCTACATGATAAGAGACATATTATTGTAAATTTTAAGTTATCGTATAGTGATGTGTTTAATGGACAAAACGCTGTTCATTGCTTTATATTTTGTACTTAATCATTGTGGTTTTGTACATCCAATGCAAATAATTCAAGAGGCAAAATGACAGTTATTAAAGAATCGATTAAGTTTTATTATTCAGGCCTTGTCACCTTGTTTCCAGGAGTTTGTTTTATCACTTGTGTTCGCCGCTATCTGTGATCTGGCATTTATACCACATCTTCTTATATTTATATCTCCTCTACAACACCGACAATCCTACATTACCACAATGTCTTGAAGAAATGTATACGGCAACATACCATCAACACAAACAATCTTACAATACCACAATGTCTAAGAGCAATGTAGACGGCAACATACCGTAAACACAAGCAATCTTACAATACCACAATGTCTAAGAGCAATGTATATGGCAACATACCGTCAACACCATCAATCATACATTGCAACAATGGCTAAGAGCAATGTGTACGACAACATACCGTCAACACCATCAATCATACATTGCCACAATGTCTAAGAGCAATGTGTACGACAACATACCGTCAACACCATCAATCATACATTGCCACAACGTCTAAGAGCAATGTGTACGACAACATACCGTCAACACCATCAATCATACATTGCAACAATGGCTAAGAGCAATGTGTACGACAATATACCGTCAACACCATCAATCATACATTGCCACAATGTCTAAGAGCAATGTGTACGACAACATACCGTCAACACCGGCAATCCTACATTGCAACAATGCCTAAGAATAATGTGTACGTTAACATACCGTCAACACAAATAATCCTACATTACCACCATGCCCTAGATCAATTGATACGGCAACATACCGCCAACACAAATAATCCTACAGTACCTCAATGTCCTAGACCAATACTAGTATATACGGCAACATTCTGTCAACAAAGACAATGCTATATTATCGTATTGTCTTAGAGAAAAGCACACGACAACATACATATGATCTTGTACTAGAGAAAAGCATCCGATAACACCGTGAACACAGACAATCCTACATTATCATGTTGTCCTAGAGAAAAAGCAAACGACAACATACCGTCAACGCAGACAATCCTACATTAACATCTTGTCCTAGGAAAAAGCATCCGGCCACTTAACGTCAACGCAGACAATCCTACATTAGCATCTTGTCCTAGAGAAAAGTAAACGACAACATATCGTCAACGCAGACCATCCTACATTCGCATCTTGTCCTAGAGAAAAGCATCCGGCAACATATCGTCAACGCAGACAATCCTACATTCGCATCTTGTCCTAGAGAAAATCATCCGGCAACATATCATCAACACAGACAATCCTACATTATCATCTTGCTCTAGAGAAAAGCATATGGCAACATACAGTCAACACAGACAATCCTACATTATCATTTTGTCCTTGAGAAAAGCATCCGGCAACAAACCGTCAACACAGACAATCCTATAACCCTTGACCATCTACCATCATCATACAATAAGGTGTATATGCAGTCAACTGAATTATACTTCAATACCACCTGTATATGACTGATTTCAAGTTTAAAATCCATAAAACAAATCTTCTATCACCATATCATAGGACTTCCTTTAATTGGCTCACTTTAAATCATCGTAAACAAGCTTGAAATAACTAAGTAGAATTTGTTTTATGTCACACCTATAGTCCGTTTGACTTCTTTAAATCTTTAGAAAATAATTCTTAAAAATTCATTTTTACAAATAAACATTTTTTTTCTTGATGTATGTTAATGTATGATATATACGAACTCTGACTATGAATATCATAATTTTAGGCCAATAATCAAAAAAGTTACCCATTAGGTCTCTATGTTACTCCTATTTTTTTTATATAAAATACTTGATGGAGCAAGTATGAATAGTGTAACAGCCTTGTATTCAAAACAAAAACATTAGACATGTGCTTTAAACCTGTTTCATTATACCATGTGACTTTTCTCATTTAAATAACGCTGACCAGCAAACAAACTTGGACTTCATTTAAGTTTTATGTCATGTGATTAATGAACTTATTGTATACATGATTTTATATTTTTCATTGTTCAATTTTTATGAGTAACCTTAGTAATATTTTCCACTGGACATTACTAGTATAACATTTTTAAAAACTACAAAGTAGTTTTATGCAAAATTCAGTTTTGAAATTTTATTAAAAAGTACCCCTTTTCATCAGTAAAGGTCTTTATGGTTATATTTTATCTAATTTTATTTTCATTTTTTGAAAGTCATAAGCTGTGTTTTTTCAAGAAAAAAGTAAATATTAAATGTATTCTGTAAATACTTATTGGTGAAACTTTTTAGAGGCTCTCCATTTTGTTAATACTGTCATCATGCTTTAAGCATGAAAAGCTTGCTTATATTCTTTTATAAATATATAAACCAAATTAAGGTAACAAAAATTAAGATTTGGTAAGGAATAAAAAGAAAATAAAACATCTGATTATAATATTTTTTCCCACAAATAACATCTTTGCAGATACATGCAAGTTCATTTATAAATCATATAAAACCAGTTATAAAAAAACTTAGATGATGGTCATTTTTCATGACATGTATCTAAATGAGTTAAGTCACACGGTACAATGAAACAGGTTTAAAGCACATGTCTAATGTTTTTGTTTTGAATGGAAGGCTGTTACACTATTCATACTTACTCCATCAAGTATTTTATATAAAAAAAATAGAAGTAACATAGAGACTTAATGGGTAACTTTTTCGATTATTGGCCCAAAATTATGATATTCATAGTCAGAGTTCGTATATATCATACATTAACATACATCAAGAAAAAAAATGTTTATTTGCAAAAATGAATTTTTAAGAATTATTTTCTGAAGATTTATAGAAGTAAAACAGACTATACCATCAACATAAACCACCCTTTTACTACCACCATGTCCTAAAACTGCCTTTATATGTCTCAGATACCATCAACATTAACTTACTACTACCATGTCATAAAACTTATTTTATATGTCACACCTACCATCAACATGAACCATCCTACTACCACCATGTCTTAAAACTTCTTTTATATGTCACACCTATACCATCAACATAAACCACCCTACTACCACCATGTCCTAAAACTTCTTGTATTGTCACACCTACCATCAACATAAACCACCCTACTACCACCATGTCCTAAAACTTCTTTTATATGTCACACCTACCATCAACATAAACCACCCTACTACCACCATGTCTTAAAACTTCTTTTATATGTCACACCTATACCATCAACATAAACCACCCTACTACCACCATGTCCTAAAACTTCTTTTATATGTCATACCTATACCATCAACATAAACCACCCTACTACCACCATGTCCTAAAACTTCTTTTATATGTCACACCTACCATCAACATGAACCACCCTACTACGACCATGTCCTAAAACTTCTTTTATATGTCACACCTACCATCAACATGAACCACCCTACTACCACCATGTCATAAAACTTCTTTTATATGTCACACCTATACCATCAACATAAACCACGCTACTACCACCATGTCCTAAAACTTCTTTTATATGTCAAACCTACCATCAACATAAACCACCCTACTACCACCATGTCCTAAAACTTCTTTTATATGTCTCCAACTTCCTCCAATCCTTCCTTGTCTTTGTCTAAAAAGATTTATTCAATTATGATTATTTCAAGAAGAAAAAAAAAAATTAAAGTAAAAATAAGCGATGTTATTTCTATCAAAAGCAATTTATTTAAGCGAAACCGTCCTGCAAATGTCTTTAAATCATATTACACCATGAAATCATAGCTGATAGATATAATTTAGGCATTGGTATATTATTTTAGAATACATCTATTAAGCTAAATTTTCATATCCGATTTTAGGTTTTGTTTTAAGCCTTGAATTCCATGATAAGGTTACAATTACTAATCTTTATAACCCAGTTTAATTGCTTAGATTAGGAATTTTTCTTTGTATTTTCAATTAAATATTTATGTATTCATATTCAATATAAAGTGTTAAGTACATTTAAACAAATTTTAAGTGTTTTAATCATTTACTTATATCACCAGGTGCAAATAATGCACCTAAGAGCTCGACGTTGTTATGCATTTCCTTCTACTTGAATGATCAAAGATAAGTTTTAACTTTCCGATATTTGAATTTTTAAAAACCATCTCATTCTGTTACAGTTAATCTTGCAATTCAGTTTCAATGTTTTCATTTCTTTTTGTGCGACGAATAGTAGACATTTGCTTGAAACAAAGCTTATGGTTTGGTCGTTATCAGTATTGAATCATTAATGAAACTGTTTGCTGATGTACACCGAATCTTAGACAATGTTGTAAAAGTTATGATTTGTTTGGCCTGGTTGACCTACTGCAGAGAAATCATCTTCTATTGTTTTTGTTATTTTTACATTATATTTTTCTACACTATTGTATGTATATGTAGATATGACTGAATTAGGCTTGTATCCTCGTCATTGACCACCGAGGGACCTTAATTGGAATAAACACAAATTGTGTTTGTATTTTATTGATAGTTGCAGCAGGTCATAACAGCTCTACAGTAACACTTCGACAATTTAACGTTGTATGCGTCAATTACCTTGGTACTCCAGGGTTTGGATGTCTGTAAGCTATTTTGGAGGTCAGGTCTGCATATGTTTTATTGTACAGTACGTCGTGGTCATCCTAAAAAAAAAAGGTTTCTATATTGACAATAACCTAATTGGAAATTCTTTAATTAATATTTTTCATATTTTGTTTATGGTGTGTACAAAGATTGAAAATCAACCCCTGAATTTGCTTTCAAGTCCTTCTTAATAAAATTATGATTTCTTTAGATAGCACAGTAAAATTGTACGCCGAGTTGACTCATTAGCTTTAACAGTGTCACTAATTACTAGTCTTTCTGCTTTGACTATACGTTTCACTGTACTCATTCATCAAACATCTGAATGACAAACTTAAATAATTAAAAACCTTTTAAGGTGAGTTACTTTTGACCCTGTATAATTATATGTGGACGACATGCTTTCGCTTGCGTCTGTTCTCTCGACTAATAATAAAGATTGCAAGATAAACGTTCAACGTACTCTCTGTGCATTTTTGTAGTTAGTGTCTGCAATTGTCTGTGGAACACCAGATGGCGCGTCTCTCAAATTTGTCCAACTGTTCATATACCCATAGGTGGTTCTACAATAAATTGAAAATGAAAATAAATTTAACTGCTTAAAGATTGAATAATATATTTGTTAATTTCTAATATATCTATCTGTATAATCAAATTTCTGAAATTGTTAATAAATGAGATGACGATATCCAAAAGGACAATAGATAGAGGATCATTAGACAAGCTTGAGCTAATGAATAAACAACTGAACTCACTTTTTTCACAGATTTATTTTGTAAAACGGTGATGATCTTATCGTTTTGGTAAAAAGAAAGGCAGAGCAGTCTTGACATATGTTATATAGATATAAGAAGATGTGGTATGAGTGCCAATGAGACAACTCTCCATCCAAGTCAAAATTTATAAAAGTAAACCATTATAGTTCAAAGTACGATCTTCAACACGGAGCCTTGGCTCACACCGAACAGCAAGCTATAAAGGGCCCCAAAAACTACTAGTGTAAAACCATTCAAACGGGAAAACCAACGGTCTAATCTATATAAAAAACGAGAAACGAGAAACACTTATGAACCACATCAACAAACGACAACTACTGAACATCAGATTCCTGACTTAGGACAGGTGCAAACAATTGCAGTGGGTTTAAACGTTTTAATGGTACCAAACCTTCACCCTTATCTGAAACAATAGTGTAACATCACAACATAGAAAGACACACTATAAAATATCAATTGAAATGGCTTAACTTAATCAAAAGACATATTAACACCAGTGAACATATACTGAACAAATAAATTAGATCTATGATACAATGTAAATACAAAATAAATAAACTAAGGGAAGAATAATTAAAGTAACATGTTATACCGCTGTGAAATGTTAAACAATTTAAGAAAAACAATATGCTTGAACAAAAATATCATCCATTTGCAATTACTTTAAACACAGGTAAATAAAAATAATATTGTTGTTAGGTATACGTGTACAGTTCAAATGGAGAACAGAACTATTTTTACAAAATAAATAATTTTGATGTTCATAGTACGAAGAAGTGAAAAATTATAGTAATACCAAACACTTATCAAAGCTGGTATATAGACCAGATATAACCCTGAATAAGTAAACATTAAATAACAAAAAAGAATTACAATTAGTATCAACAGGTCAAATAAACAAGAAAGTACGATTTGAGAGTACTCGCAGTTACTGACAGCTAGTTAAAAGCCAAAAACAATAATAAAAAATCATGCATCAGAGACTAAAACCAACTAAAACACATCCCAGGGATTTAGTATTTTAACGTCATGGACAGTCAAAGAAGGCATGACTTGTGCAATGCCAAAAATATTTGTATCGACAGGCAGTAGGATAGTTAGGAGTTAACCTCTATACACTTAAATATTGTTGAAGGCAGTATGTTTACATCTATGTGTATTTTGGATTTTTGTTGGGTTTCTGTCTCGATTTGTATAAACCACAACTGCTTTTATTTCATATCTATGTCGTAACAAAAGAACAACATAGTTATGGGGAATGCTATATTTGAACATTGGTAGATTGTAATGGCCTCAATTGCCATATAGTCAAAATGGATCCTTGACTTTCACGGAAAAGGAGAGACAAGGAGAGTACATCCTCTATTACTCTTCTTGCAATAACAAAGGAAGATGTTCAAAAGTTATATAATTTATAATGAAATGGCATACCCATGCATAAAGTAAAAGGTCCTTTGAGAAAAAAATGGGAAGCCACATCATTTACCTCCAAATTTTCTTGGGAGCTCATTCTGTTTATGTATTTTTATGTATTTTTCAGTGTCTGTTATGAGTTATATCTTATTATTTCAATGATGGTAGATCTTGGGTAGTCTCTGTCTAACTTATTCCATACTTGGCAAGACTCGGGCAAGTTAAAATTCAACAGATGTGATAGATACTTGCCTTTCGTTGAAGACCCTGTGCTGACTCTTGATGTCCATTGTTTTGTTTTGTGTTGCTTGGTTGCTGCCTCATTGAAATATAACCCCCCCCCCCCCCCATTTCACATCTTCTTTTGTTGATATTTGGTAAAAATGTAGATATATGTCTGATTAAAACGTTAATTGTGATAAAAATGCTTCCTGTTGTAGGATATAGTGTCATAAACGCAACTAAAAACAAAAATCATGGAACCTTGTGGCCTGGATTTGTCATGAATCGTCCTTTACCGGCAAACGTACTATCTCCGAAATTCGAATTTTTTAAATCTTAATAGTCAACAAGGTATTTTTGGCTCTATTAATTCCCTTATGGTCCTATAGTTCCTTCAGTATTCAAGTATCTATACATCCTTGGCTTCCAATTAATGTTTTGGGGTTCAAGAGTTCCTGATATAGGCAAATCCAGACAAACGCTTCGGACGCACCAACTCTATAAAGTGATAAATTATTTGTGTGCGTGGCAACCTGAATGTTTGGTTGCAAGCTTTTGCATACCAAAAGATCATACCATTATCCGAAGAACGTTAGGAACAGTTGTGTCATTAGATATGCTAGACACAGACTCGATATTAATTCATTAATCATTTATACCAGTAGAAGACACGTATAATTATATGTCGTCTCTGCAAAACACCGACGTAGGAAAGATAATGTCGACAATTGTCTTAATATTTGTATTCAGTATAATAAAAATTTATTGAAATTAAATTCTTGTTGCAAATTTATTAAAAAGTTAATAATGATAAATACGCTTTCCGTTGTAGGATTCAATATTGTAAACGCAACTAAAAACCATGACATAAGTCTTGGAATCTTATGGCCTGAATTTACCAGGCATGGTTCTATACAGAATATCATATCCGAAATTCGCATTTTCTCAATTTGAATCCGAAATGCCAAGACGCTCTTTTTAATTTGACCGTATCTTATTCAATTTGCTTTCTACTTTGTTGTTTTTCGTTGTTGTTTAAGTAGTTGGTTGTGAGACGTCCAATGGCAAACATTTCAATCAAATCCAGTACCATTTGTGTTTTGATCTGTTTATGAGATCGTTAATTGAAAATTGTTTAACCAGAAGCACAAGAAACTTAAATCTATGAATACTAAACGATACTTAATTCGTCCTTTATGTGTCAAACTATTTTACTTTATAAATATCGTGATAAAGAAAAGACGTATACACAACTGAATAAATAAAAAAAATTGTCGAAGTATAATTTAAAGTTCAAATTTAAAAGCTGCTCATCTAAATAATGATTTAAAACTTATTATTTTATCGAAACAAATTATACTTTACGCACTACCTACCCTCCTCTGTGAAGTTCCGGAGGCGAAAAATCCTGTGAAAAACACGGTGGAATAGCTCTAGAAGCTGTTAGCGGTCTATTGAAATAAACGGATGGAGTTGGGTCTTCACAGTACATCCTTCTCGGGAAATCGTAACTATTCATGTAATCCAAAAATCGAAATTTACACCATAACAAACTTCAACTCCAATCTCAAATGCAGCTAAACTAAAACTGAACCTTTAAATTGCTTGTGATTAATTGAAAGTTAACGGTTCACATGAATTTAATATATGAGGGGACCATACTGGGGTACTTTTTGTAATTTCGGATTTGGTGCCAATTTGGCAACTTAATTCAACCTTTCATAAACTTCTGCGATTTAAATTGTATGGTGCAAGACGAGTTCAAATAGACTTCTAAACATAATGTTTAAAAGAGATAAGCTGTTTGGGTGAACTTTACCAAACCCCCTTATTAATAAAAAGAATATATACATATTGCATTATAATGCCTAGATACGAATAACCGTGACGGGTAGGTTTTTGATCGATCTAGAAACTGTTCACCTATTTGTATATTATATTAGATCGATATGTATAACACTTTACTAGCCAATTCAGACAGACTGATTGTTTAAAAATTAATAAATCATATCAAATTTCAAGATTTAAATTCCAAAAACAAACAAACGAGCTTTTCAAATAAACCTATTTCATTTATGTTGATGCACAAAACTGCATGTGGATCAATTGAGGTTCGAGAAGGTAAAAGTCAGACATGAAGTAAAAATCTCAAAACTGAAATAAAATTAACAACAATTTTTAGTTAGGGAGGGGATATCGGATGGATGTGCATTTTATAACTTTCACAAGACAGACTTGGAAATATTGATTGATTGATTGATTATTTATTGTTTACGTCCAGTGTCAAATATTTCATGCATATTGACTTGGAAATAATTTTTTAGATAAAAATCAAGGCTTTTATTGTTGTGCTCTTTCTTGACAGTGTGCACATTGCTAATTATTACAACCAATTACACGTGAAATTCGCCAGTAAACCTAATCATTGGAAATACAGAGAAGCTGAGAGAAGACTGTCCTTGTATGCTAGTCGCGAAACAATTTATGCACCATTCATTACATAATGGGGCTACCCTGGTTACCTTTGCGATTGAATTGGGATACAAGGAGATGTGCGATATATGTTAATGAGACAACAACCCAACGACCAAAATAACCAAACGACATATAGAGGTCAATAAGGTGTTTAACAATAGGCAGGTATATATTTATACAATATGTCCAGCTCTAGACGACCTCGAGTCTAAAATGAACAGAAACCATCGATTACTGAATGCAAGCTCCAAGTGCTTTAACTGCTGATTTGAAATCATGCCGATCTATATTCTTATAGCGGAGACTGTATGCATTTCACGTTATATTTCACTCAGTAACGTCATAACAGGAAGAAGACACGACATTGTACAATGCCAAGAACAAACCAGCATATGTAGAAGTTGAATGCATAAAATCGAACAGAAAATTTTAGTCTTACTTCCTACTCTAACATAGCGGATTGATGTTAATTCACCAAAAAAATTAGACGCAATCAATGAACAAAAACGATGTTAGCATAACCTTTGTCAAGCATCTTATGAAGTCAAAAAGAAAGATTTAAAGGACAAATCTTAAACTTGATAGCTTTATAAATAACATCACGGTAAAAAAATACCAAAATAAGTATCATAGCTTGAAATGTTTATGTCCACATATAGTAATAAATTAAAATTTTGTTACATTTATGTTTGTTTCTCTGCATTAGATACGAGGATGTTTGTTAGAGCTCCGAGGCCTAAGCGCACAATCCTAGAGCATGCATCGTCCCTTGGTACCTGTTGCAGCTAAACAATCAAATATATTTATACATTTCCAGCAAAAATATTAAAAAAAATAAAATAAAAATAACTGCAAATAAAATCAAGTGAGAGGACATTTGCCACATCTCTGGAGTAGCAACTCTTAAATACTTTTTTTTTTAATTTAACATATAATAAATAGCCTGTATCACTCTATATCAACATTTTAGGTGTATATATGAATGTCATGTAAAATACTGTATGTTGTAAAAGATTATATTTGTTATATGTGTATACCCCCCTGGGGACCTAATTTGGACTTGAAAATAAAATATCTTATCTTATCTTATATTTTTTCGATTCATCATACCAAGAATAAATCGATGTTATAAACACATCGTACAATATCGATGTTAGATACTTCCATAAAAAATATATCGATGTCGAAAGTTACTTCATCTAAAAGATATCGGTATTGCTATACTTCATCCCATAATAATTATACACAATTCTTAAGTTAAGGTGGTACCCAACACCTTGACTAATATTAATTTGGCTCGTTTAATTTTCATAAAATTTTGACAAAATGTTTACTTTGACCCTTTGACAAAAATATAAAAATTTCAAAAAATTTGAACCAACCACTTTATCAGAAAAATTTCATTGGTTATATAGCAGTTTGACAAACACTAATTTTGATCATTGAGAAGCTTAATATTTCCTTAACAATACAACGTAATTAAAACGTTTAGCTGATTTTTACAGAGTTATCTCCCTGTAGTGTTAGGTACCACCTTAAGTTAACAAAATATGTTTTCATGATGCACGAAATAGAGTTATCAAGAAAAGTTATGATATGTTAGTGAAATTCTTTTGAAATTCGAGACCCCTCAAATCACAGTGATTTAAATGAAATATTATAGGATTATTTATAGGTAATCTTGTACTTGAGTTATATAAATGAAAAGTTATTTGCAAATCAAAAGTCCATCTATCGTTAAAAAAAACTACAGCAATATCTTTATGTGGTAATGTAATAGCTGGGACCAATATCTATTTATGTATTACCCCAGGTAATAGCGACAATTTGCTAGTTGATTCAAGTTTCAATTTCAAAAGTTTAATCATAAGGAATGGTGATCTGATCTTACAAGTTTTCATTTTTTTTTATATTACGTATTTTTGAGATCATCCGTTTCAATCCTATTATTCCTCTCTCGTTTATACATATTTTATTTTTTTGTCTATTCGTGAAGAAATTTAAGATTAGATAAGATCGTGCAGTTCATATATCGTTTCTATGCGTATGCATGGTCAATTGGTCAATAAATACCAACGGTCAAGCTGTACAAACGCCGTTCATTTAATGATATATTTTCAACATTTTAATATAGGATATTTTTTTATGGAACCGTTTGTTTATCGTTAGGGGCGTTTGTATTACGACACAAGAAATTATAATATAAAGCAATTTGTTTTTGTATTTTAGACAGTGAATTGTTCTTCCGAACTCTAATTATAGCATGGACACCCAAAACCCCTGTCATAGAAGGTGAAATTATTTCATGAAACCATGCACTTTCTAAAATAAAATGCAAATGGAAATGAAGATACATGCACATCAGTAAGAAAATAATCCTTTGAATAACCAGAAAATATTTTCACTTCGTCAGACCTTATTTGCATAACTCCATAAAGAGAGTAGAAAAGGAAATAAACAAATCGCAAACTATAAACCCATATAATTATAACTCTACAAGTGGGTCTTTCCTTTTTTCTCTTATTTGTAAAATGCGCCTATAAAAATGATCTGTCGACCTGGAATTGCACTACTGGTTGCCTTCTATACTCTACTATCAATGAAATTTTGAGGATGAGATATAAAATGTTAGTTATACGTCCTTGGCTGAATACAATTAAAATATACAAAATGGTAAAACTAACTGTAAATACGATTTCCTAGAGTTCAACGCCGTGAAAACCCAAACTATATGCTTTTATTGTAGTCTGTTTTATAATTCTCTCGATTACTAGTACTAGTATACATGTATATATAAACTATGTCTAAAACATAGTCCGCATCACAATAAATATTTGACTTACTTTGTATTACTCATGGGCCTATATCTGTCCAGAATAGCATCGCTACTAAATCCTCCTGTTCCGGGTTCCGGAGATAGTGCCATCTTCGATATCAAAAGATTAAAATACACTAAAAGTAATTGATACCGAAAAGATAATACTCTAAATCTACTGTTGTAATCAAACAAATCTGACTGGTTCAAATTACACGAAATAGGGTTCATAAAGTATTTTTAAACTATACGACAGTAATGATTTAACACCCGATGACATTGATTTGTAGAAATTTATGTCTGGGAATATTTCTGTATGGACTCTAAGTATAGCAAAATCTTAGGCAACTCCAGAAAACTACTTTTTTCCAACAATAATGATTTTTCTTACTGATTAAAATCGGCATATTCCCCTACCAACAGAATAGGCCATTCTGTCAGGTTGAATGATTGACAAAAACAAAGGTGACATTTAATTCTATACCAAACTGTGAGTGGATTACAAAGGGATTAATATTAGTATTCATTGTTCTGTGATTATATAGTTCACAGTTCAACGGGATGATTGAATTTCTAGGCTTATTAACTAATTTTTTCCTTCAGTGTAATGGCATACACAGTTTATTTTTTGTATTATGCTCTTTTTGGGTCTATGTAATAAAAATAAAACGTCTTCTCCTTTTTCTTCTATTTTTGTAAAATGGATTAACTATTATCCGATGAAGAATTAAAGGGAAACAACTCAAATTTGCTCTTAAAAATATTTTGTATTGAAACGATACAATCCGCGGTGTACAGGAGGTAGCTATTGATATCAATTTCATATGAAGGGCATACGTTTTAAATACGCTATTGCGCAGAAACACGCAAACAATTTCAAACAGAAAATACCATTTAGCGACTTTTCCCCTTTTCAAGTCTAAGGTATATGCATGCATGCTAACTTCAAAGTCGATTAATAAAGGCAAAGCACATGTACTTATTTCTATCCATTTGGGAGGAGGTCGACTAACCATCGCAATGGATAGAAACAATTTCCTGTGAGGCAAAGCATAACTCGGTGATATCCTTATACATTATTACTTGACTTTTAGTCAGTGATGGATGGATCGATGATGAACCCTCAGTGGGCAATCCAAAAATACTGTTAGTATGTTTCTCAATAGATTTTTTGGAAAAGTAACTCTGTCCCACCAAGGCAGCCATATTGAAATTTCAATTAGCACACAAGCCCCAATATGAAAGTGAGTCACTAAATGAACAATCCTGGCAACTGTTGAAAGTTTATTTTCAAATTTTCAAAAAAGTTTACGATAAACGAAGACAGACGCTTTAGCAATGA